GAACCACTATCGATCGCCGCAATACAGAAGCCCGAGCAACGAAGACTTGCGCATGATGCACAATGGGGGCTACACCCTACCACCTAACACGAGCGGAACCCAAGTAAGGCGGGGTCAGCCGGCCCCTCCCCGTGTTGCGAAACGAACTCGCATACGAGGTCGTCAGCCGCCGCACTCGACCGGCGGACGGGAAGGAACAAGGGAAAAGGACGCTTCTCGGAGCATCGCCTTCCCCCCTAGCCACGGCAACTCTGAGCCTTTGGATTTCAAGAAAGGCATGCCTGACACGGACAAGTTTCTTTTCGAGCTGCGCGCCAAATACAGCGACAACAAGGGCAAGGGGATGTGGGACCCCATTACACGGGAATACAACGAGAGGTTCAAGACACAGTTTGATCGGGCCGCGCTCCAAATGAAAGTCTCAAGAGCAAAGTCCAAGTGGATACAGTGGCATGAAAAGGATGTAAGTTTGCAAGGCTGACCCCTCGCCAAAAGAATGATCCCGCTCACATTCCCTCTAGGACACGATCCTTGTGGAAGCGGCCAGACAAGTCGAACAACAGTACTATCGACAGGTGCACCTGAAATTTAAAGAACTTGGAGGCAATCCTCAAGCAGACTTTAATGTTGGCAATATTGAGATGCGCATGGTCGAGCTTGGCCTCTCACACGTTTGGATGGACGCCTGGAAAGGGGACCTCAAGTTGAGCACCCGCCGAAGGCGCAAACTTAACGAGCGCCAACGCAGCACAGCGACTCCACGCGACGACGACCGCGGACGTCAACAACTACCCTCAGCTACTCCTTCCTCTTTTATTCACGATTACTCGGTTCGAGACGATTTGCCAAATAGCGCGAGCTCCTTTGCTACCATTGGCCCTCAGCCCTGGGGGAACGCGAGCAGGTGCTCAATGATATCGACACGCGAGCATATAAAGTGGAGGCCGAGTCACCCCCAAACTTTTGATACCGACGACGATTCATTGGGCATGGGACAGTCCGCTGAAATCCAACAGGGCCGACGAGCCGCGAAGCAGGCATGCGGCGACATGATTTTGCAACAGCGGTGGTG